ACATGCACCACGTAATATCGTAAGTCTTGAGAACTAATGCAAAGTGTGATGTACATTTAAAAATTTGTAAATCTTTCAGTAATGCATTTTAAAACTTAAATAATACATAATTAACTAAAATATAAAAGTAAGACCTAAATATAATTTAACTATATCTCTAAATATAACTTATTTAGGTAAGAAACAACCATAAGTGCTTTAGTCGATCAAGCAGCCAACAATATTACAGTCAGTTATATGTATTCCATGATAAAAACTGTGCATCAATTTCCAAATAACGGTTGTTTGATTACAGTGTAAAATGAACTATTTCTAATGACTATTTATATGCATTTGTAACCTCTACATATAGGCTATAAAGCTCAAATAAATCATTTGAAGGTGGGCATGACAAAATATATTACTTGTTTCAACTGCATTCATCCAGATAATTTGAAACATATGTGTTAATAGGTTAGATAATTGTCTTATTAACCAGTATAAGTTGACAAGTACTGTATGAGAGCTGCAAGGATAAGACAAGGGTGGGAAAACTGGTAGTGGGAGAAATGTCAAGGTCAGCCCCCAACACTGACAAAAGTGACTTCACCTGTTAGGAGTCAAGAAATGGTTGATCAGCTTGATGATAAAGAAAAGCATAATGATTAGAAGCCCATGGAAGGTGAAGCATGCTAGCAACCAACCCTCAACTGAGAAACAAAAGGCTCAGCATGAACCCTGATGTCAAGAGAAAGAGGGAAAACAAGGTACCCAAAGAACAGAGTATCATGTAATATCATGTAACTAGGAAGGAACAGGATCATATGCAATCCGTGAAATCAATAAAACGGAACACACCTAAGAAATCTTATTCAAAAAGACTGAGTTAAGCTTGGCAGATTCAGTAGGAGATTCTTGAAAAGGCACAGCATAGTTAGGTGGAAGAAAAATGCTGTCAAAATCCTCCTTGTCTTGAACCGGTTTGGACGATTCAGGAGGAATCCAAACATTGTTGGGAAAAGAAGGTCAACTCATATATTGATCAATCTCCCGATGAATGATGGGTGAAAAATCTTGGAGGGATGGTAAATAAATTAGAGAAGAGGGGATGCCTAAAGAGAAAACGTCACAATTCTCATACTAGGGGAAATACAGGATTTAAAAAAAAATATTATCATATAAAATGACAAACTTAAAATGTATATACTATTAAAACATGAATTATTAGCTACATTTTAAAGCTATATTTACTGATATATCATGAAAAGAAATTAGTTTAATTAAGTTTTGATTGTAACTCACTAAAACTCATGACATGCAAAGAAAAACGATGCCCATGGAGAGAGAGTTAATATTCAGTTTTACAGTATGATAGTTCTTCACAAGAATGTTTTTTTACTTATACCATTGTTGTCGACATATGCAGAACAGTGATAAACCATTTGAAAACTATGTTTGCCAAATATGTTCATGAATGCAATATATAAGTAATATTCTGTTTTATGCACATGTGGGGAAGAATTTAAAATGATCCACAATTCTGAATTCACAATTTGAAAATACAAGTTTTCCAAGGAACTTCAGAGCAATAGTACATCTCTACTTCTCCAAAAAGGTTTTGGTTTACAAAGACATTACAAGGTCTGGCAACTGAAATTGATGATAAACACTTTTATCACACTTTTCTTAAGGATTAATATCTAAAATTCCACTCAAATGATTAATCCTCTAACAAATATCAAATATACAAAAAATAATTCCAAAAACCTCATCTTACACTAAAGGAAAATCTAAATGTCTCGAGGTGCTTGAGAGTAATTATAATGGTACAAGACATTCCTACATCTGCATTAAAATTCAATCAAATATATATATATATATAT